ATATTGGACATATCAATTTTGAACCAGTGCTTAAGAAATTATTCTCATTTTTATACCTAGGTGCAAAGGAGAGTAATAGTTTAAGGAAATTACTAGTGAATAAAATAGCTGCACTAACTCTTAAACTCCAGTAATATCTTTAAATTGTTACGCAGAAAAATGATATAGTTATAACTTTGAACCAGTGACTATCGCTCTAAAGATAAACTCTACAACGAGTTATTTAAGCAGGGTGATTTATTAAGAATAAGATATTTATTTAGTTTTGAACTATTGAAAATTTTAAATTTATGTAAAAGAAAATATTGTTTGATTCAAAAAGCTAATCCAATAATATGTTGTTAAATTATTTTTTCCCATCTTTTCTAAGATAAAAACCTAAAAATTAATTTTTCTTTAATAATCCCTAATTTTAGTTAAATAATATGGTAGAAAAAAATTCAAACAATTTTGTTCTCATAATTTTTTTATTAGATGAATTATTCTTTTGTTATTACTTGTTTAAATTTAGTGTCTTCAAACCAATTTTCTATGGATAAATTGATATTTAGTATACAGTAGTCGTCATTTGTTACAGTTACAACTCGATATTTTCTATCATACAGAAATCTCATTTTTGATAACTTGTGTCTTATAATAGACTCATACTCATATTCAATGCAAGTTTACTATCGCACATTGTTGAATGAATTTTTTTATAACTACCATAAAAATAATTTATGAGTGATTGAAACAGATTACTGTTGTCTCCGGTATTATTAAAACCAAATTAATGATGAATTTTTATTTTTAATACAAATCCTTAAACAATTTTAAAACATAAATGGTTGATCAGATAAAAAAAAATTATAAGAACAAAAACTAAAAGTAGGAGTGGTCATTAAGGAAAACCATTTATTACATTGAATCATACTTAAATTAAATTGCATGATGTTAAAATTTCCCAATTTAGTAATACTTGATGTGATAGTCTATCATTATAAACTATTAAATTGATTGTGTGTAATGTGTGATTAATATGGTAATTAATACTTATAAATTAATTGTATAATATGGATACTTAATTTAATATATTTTGTTCGAACTGAACTTTTGTTAGAAATATAAACATTATTTGACTATTTTAAACTTTTTAATCTTAAATAAGTTTTTTGAAGGTCAACACTATAAAAAAAAACGTTATAACTATATGTATTTTTATTGATCCTATAAATATTTTATCAGCGCAATAAATTTGTAAGAATAATTTTTTCTATAATACTTTGTTTTTGTGTCAAAGAATTTATGACGAAAATCAAGTATAAATTGTATTAAAACAAATAATTTTTTAAGTCAATAATCAATTTTTTATTGTTTTTAATAAATGCAATATCAAATAATTGTAAATATATTATACATTTATGATAAAATAATATTTGTTAGACCAATAATTTCTTTATTATCTTTATTAGCATAATAAAACATTTATTCACGTAATAAATAGTACTAAAAAGTGAAATATTGGAAATTATCTTTATAATGAACTAGATTCAGGTGTGACCGATTCGGTAACACGATAGTGCCTACCAGTGCTCGAATTGGGGGGGTGCGCAGGGGGACGTAGCTCCTCTACTTTTTTTAAAATTTTTTTGCGCACCCCAACTACTTTTTTTTATGAGGACGGTGGAAAATACCACCTCTTTTTTTTTTTTTAAATATTAGTGTGATAATGAAATATAATTTCATATAAAAAAAAAGGTCTTCAAAATGCTAGGGACGCAGTTTTCAAATTGTTTTTGAAGTTGAGCTCCCCTACTTATTTTTGGCCAATACGAGCACTGGTGCCTACTATACGTCGTTCGAGAATAGGTCATGAGCGCTCCGTTGCTGAGCAAAAGATTTATTCATTTGTTGGAGTCACCATTCCTCTCTTTGGTGAAGGACTAACTTATCACGCTGGAGTATAAATAGTTAAGAAACCTCTTTGGTGGAAGTCGCAATGATCTTTTAAGGATCATTGATTGTAAAAAGCGCGAAAACATGAACTGTATTCATTAAATCCAGCTTAATAAATCAGCTTAAGATACTCTAAATCATTTATGTTATTGAATTATTGAAACTAGCTACATTTAATGAGCTACACTCAGAAATTCCAACATAGAATGGGTTAAGGTTTAGATCTCAAAAGTTGTAGCTATACTAAATTTCAAAATTATAAATTGTAGTATAAATTAGTGTTTTTTTAGATTATTTAAAATAAGTCTCATGACAATAAATGTTGTTTAATTAATCAGGTGATGATATAATAATTCCATTTTTTCTAACATTAACTATTATTGTTAATGAATAATATATACATAGAAGTTTCAAGTATGTAGCTCCAAGTTATACCCATAAAATGTAAATTAAGGAGACCAAACTCGCATAGCAGCACACCTGTAATACCATTCTGTATAACATTGCACACTAAATTCACCATTCGTCAGACACATGAGTGGCTAGTTTTTTTATTATTCTAAACTTTAAAATTAGGCCTATTAATTTTTTTAAAATTTTAAATACATGTATCTTACAAAATGTAACAGTTATGAAAATATTGTCAAAATTAACTTATAAACATCATTTAAACTATTAATAAAAGAAAACATTATTGATAAATATTTCATTTATTTCCTATTATTTCTATTGCAAAGTAAAACTATATTTGTTCTTTTGAATTAAAGTGATAGCAATTACTGAAAACAACTATAGGTTTTACAGGACAGTTTTCGATTGTGAAAGTTTGGACTCCTTAATCTATACTTCTTGATTAGAATTAATATAAATAGGTATTTTATGACTCATTTGTAATCGATGACAGATGTGAAAACACTCATTGAGAATATGATAGATAAGGTACTGATATTATGATAACAAACTGTTATTTATTCATAGAATTAGAATAGTAAAAAATATAAGCGAATAAAAAATGATGACAGATCTAATTTTAGTTTTCAAATATTAAACCAGTGTGTACAAATTCTATTTATGTGTGATTAATCTAACGACATCCTCTTCCATTTTTCATAAAATAAAAAAAAGTAGTCTGTAATATATTTCTTTCCAGCAAGCTATTCCAGTAGGTCAATACATGGTTGTTTTCATGCATGTTTGTTCATATTTAGGCATTACTATTTTTTGAAAAATGGGCCACTGTGTGTTAAATCAAAAATTAAAAATTATTATAATCCTGATAACTTTTGATAAATGAACACTGATGTAAAAATTTGTAAAAGTTATTGATATTGTTTGTTACTTTGGTTAAAATATTTATAAGGATAATTTGTAATAAGTCGCTTGGTAATAAGTTTGATAATAAAAGACTACAACACACTATATCAATAATTTAATTATATTATTAATTTAGTATTATCGTACTCATGTGTGACAAGTGACATGCATTCATTAGCAGTGACGTTTTATATAAGGAGGGGCATAGTAAAAAAATCTATCTATTGAACTATTTTTTTGCTCATCACTTCATTTTAGAGATGAATATTATTTTAATGGAGTGCCAAAATCTTTTGACAACCCCACTGTTAATTAGTTACGTTTTTTTTCAAAAAAAAATTAAAAAGTTTTATTATAAGTATATGGTAAAGTTTTCAAGCAATAGAGTTACAAATATGTAAATTATTTTTAAATTCAAGATATTTATGTTAAACCATTTTATGATAGTGATGTTAATCACCATTAGATATCATCTTTACATGTCCCCACTATGCTGGTTTCTATATTCATACTATTGGAAATGTATTTTTTCTTTTTCCAAAATGATTTTATGGTAAATATAATAGTTTAATCAAATATCTTTATAACCTTTATAAACCTAAATTTTCAAGAACTAGTTAATACCGATACTGGTATATATTAGTACATTAATTTTTTTTTTTTTCAAGAACCTGAATCGTTATTTCATTAAAGTACTATTATCTGATACTAACCCTAATTTCCAAGGGTACAAAGATAGACAATTTTATATATTTTTCATAAAATCTTTTAATTGAGATTAAAAAAAACCTATCGAATTTAATTTAAAGAAACTCTGGATGTATATGGTGTATACACATTTTTTTTTTTGAAATGTAAAAGAAGAATTTTTGTTTGGAAAAATTTTAATTCTATGCTTAAATTAATAGGATATAGAATATTTTGGCTAAGATTTTTTGTTCTATTAAGATATAAAGATGTTTTTTTTAGTTTTGCAGATTTTTTTGTGTCTGTTACCAGTTTTTCTCAGCTCTCACCGAACCGATTACTTTCAATGATACGTCAAAAGATCACAAATCGTGTATCTAGTCGAAGACATTACCCTCAAAAAAAAAANGCTCTCACCGAACCGATTACTTTCAATGATACGTCAAAAGATCACAAATCGTGTATCTAGTCGAAGACATTACCCTCAAAAATTGAAAAAATTTCTGTCGTTCCCCGTAAATGGGGGAAACCTCTAAAAAATTACAAATTTAAAAATCGCTAATTTTCGAAATTTTTTAAATTTTTTTCCTTAAAACTGCCATAACTTTTTCAAAAATGAATAAATCAATATAATTTTTTTTTATAGATGTTTGATGTCTTTACCTATCATATGGTATATTTTTGTGAACATTTGACCTTTTAACAGCCCACGGGGGGGATTTAAAATGACAACTTTTTCAACTTTTGAAAGTGTTCCGGAAAGTCTGACACTTTTATATATACCTTAAATTAAAGCTTATGTAATATACTTTATTTTGAAAAAAAAAATGTAACGACGTACGGTTGCCGAGTTGATATAATTTGTGTTTTACGCGATTGGGGTACAAGGTTTCAATGACAAGGAAATTTTTTGCATTTTTTTCTTAATTCTTATNTTTTTATTACAGTTACTTGCGTTTTACTCAATACAGACAATTTAGTAGCCTATACCAAGTAAGTAATTTTTATTATAAATCTTATTTCGATTTCGAAAACACAATTACTAAAATACAATTTGGTTAAATATTACTATTACTAAAATTATTAATTAACCGAATATAACTGAGTAAACAGCAATTTCAAAGTTATGTAGTATTAGTTTTTTAAAGATATTAGCATTAAAAGTTGTTACAAGGTGAGTGACAGGATAGATATATTCACGCTCCAATTGTATTACAGCATGAAAAAGTAAATATCACTAAGTTGCTATTAAGTTATAAGAGATAATTCAAAAAGTAATTTTTAGGTGATATATATAAAATATATTTAGCTAAAAGAAATTAAAATTTATATTAAATATTGTATTTATTTTGACAGAAATAAAATATGATTTATGATAAACTGATTAATTTGTATTTATAATTTAATTTTTTATTTGTGTATAATTTTGCAGAAAATTCAAAATGAAATACTTCAATATCATTTTTGTTTTGTGTTTTGTTATGTGCATCGTTTCCTTTTCGGTTGCCTCAGATTCAACTCTGCGTAAGATTAAAATAATTAAAATAAATTATTAAATTAAAATTATTAATTAAATGTAGTTAGTAATTAACTTTATTCGTACATATGAGTAATAACATATTTTAAGATTTTTTTCCTAATATTGTACAAATATATTATAAGCATTTATATACTATTTTTTTTATAAAATTCTCACAATACAAGAATTTTATAAATTTTTTTATTCTTTAAAAGTTCTCCTCCAAATCTAAGATAAGATGAAAAAGCTAATAATTATATAAATTATATTTTAACAGATGACGACGGTACTAATGGTAACTATTTATTTTAATTCAATCAATTTCAAAAATAGCGTGATTATTATTTTAGCTAAATCTATGAATTCTTTTTCGTTTTTTAAATAAAAAAATGTATTTTTCAAACAAATTTAAACATTATTTTGAAACAATTTTTTGGTCTTATATTTTGCTTCAGAAATAAAAAATTAATTTGTTAAAAAGAAAGAATTGAATTTAAAATATGAAATTAATTTTATTAAAAATTTGTCATATATTTAAACTTTATTTTTTTTAGATGATAAAACTCAACAAGGTTCAGTACCATTGAATTCCGTCAACCTTGATTCAGTTCCTCTTTAAAAATTTTCAAAATATATGATAAAACATTAATTCAACAATATTATAATATTTTCAGTTAAAAAATCAATTTATATAAATTTCATAATAAAAATTGTTATACATTTTATAATGATTTTGTTTCCAAAATAAAATTTCTCATAACAGTTTATCGCATTGGTTTTATTTCAATTATCTGTAAAGTCATGAATAGATAATCCTTACTTGTACTTAGTTAAATAAATTATGTAAAGTTGTTCCTATTAATATGAAGCATAAGAGAGCTTTGAAAAACTCAGTGTGGAAACAATTGAATTGTTTTAGGCTAGTTAATAGGCAAAGGAGTTTTAAACTTATTGCCTTTTTATTGAATTAAAAAAATAAAAATAAATATTATCTTCTATTAATGATACATAAATAAAGCCAATTAAAATCGATTTTTAGGACATTAGTGTCCTTTTAATAATTTTTAGAACATATTCAGGCAAAAGTTACTTTTTTTTTTATTAAAACTTTTAACGTAGCATTTAATTTATATTTTTATTTTAAACTGTATTACTTTTTGTATGTTATGTATATAAAAAAAATTACCTATATTCATTTTTAAAAAATTTAAGAATTAAAAAAACTTAGACTTCCCAAAATTTTGATAAAATGGTATTATATTGATATGTGTTTAAATCACAGAATTTTTAAATTTAAAATGCTTTTTGAACTTTAAATAAATTTTAAATACAAAATCAAACCTATATATATATATATAGGGTGATTTTTTTATCATAACCCACTCAATTACTTGCAGAATAATAATAATTTAAACATTTTTTTTTTCATTATCTTTAGTTACACATTATCCTTGAATTTTTAACTATGTAATACTTTTTAAGTTCATCCCTTATGCCTTGGAAGGGGGTCAACTTTGTTTTTTTAAATGGTAACACATATTTTTAATTTAATAAAATGTTTGAGTTTTTAATTTAATAGTAAATGGCATTTGAATTTTTAATATAACTTAATTCGTTTATTAGATATAATCATTTAAAGTTTCAAATTTTTGAATTAATATACAAGTATAATACACAAGGGATTACAAATACAGGTAGCTAATTGGTTTTTTATAACATCGATATTAGCAGGTACAAAGCATTGTTATTATCAACTGTAGTAAGGCACATTGTTATGAGTATATAAATACACTAACTGACAATACAGAAAATATATCTATTGATAATCATAATTGATAATAAACAATCCGTGACTGAGACAGCAATGTCATAAAAATCCAATTAGCTACCTGTATTTACAATCCCATGTGTATTATACATGTATATTAACTCAAAATTTTGAAACTTTAAATGTTTATATCTAATAAGCTAATAAAGTTATATTAAAAATTCAAATGCCATTTACTATTAAATTAAAAACTCAAACATTTTATTAAATTAAAAATATGTGTTACCATTTAAAAAAACAAAGTGACCCCCTTCCAAGGCATAAGGGATGAACTTAAAAAGTATTGCATACTTAAAAATTCAAGAATAATGTGTAACTAAAGATAATGAAAAAAAAAAAATGTCTAAATTATTATTATTCTGCAAGTAATTGAGTGGGTTATGATAAAAAAATCACCCTGTATATATATATACATTGTAAGGGGTGATCGTTAATTATGAACTTTTAATATTACATAGTGCCACTCCCTAGAATTATTTGAATGCCCAAAAGAATAATTGTGTAAAAATTGGTGATGTTTGTTTAACTCTAAGACGTGCCCCAAGGGGGTTAAAAATGATACCTCAAAGGTAGGTTTTAAGTTTTTTTTGTCTATCTCAAAAAATTAACTTCTATGAAAAAGTTTATAGAAATTCTTTTGTAGATATAATATATTTCTATAAAAAAGATATCTAGTAAACTTTTGGAAAATTGTTATTAAGCCTAATAAAAAATGATAATACAAATGTTCTATTTTTACCGCTGAAACTTGATTTATTTTATAAACCGTCCACTGCAGAAAAAAAATGTTCACATAAAATTTGTTTTAAATTAAATATTCTGTATATTTTTTATATAAAAAATAATCTTAACGTATCATTTTTAACACTCTTCGGACACGCCTTAAAATTAAACAATCATCACCGATTTTTGCACAATTATTTTTTTTGGGCATTCGAATATTTCTAGGGGGTTGCACTTGTTAATATTATTAAAAAAAAAACCTACCAATGTAACTTATGGTTACCTAAAAATTTCATTGTGATATGGCATTTTAATTGGTTTCTTATATAGATGTTTCTTACTAATTTACAAATAAGTTTTTATAAATAATTATTTATAAAAACTTATTTGTAAATTAATGAATTAAACATATTTGTCCAAAAAAAATTTTTATGGTTAAGAACAATTAGAAATTATTAATTTTATTTTATTAATAACTAAAGAGAATAACAATTAATATTTTAAATTAAATATTGAAAAAAAACTAAAAAAAAAAAATGAGTGCTTCAAAGTTTTTTTTAATTGATATTGTGGTTATTTGGGATATCTTTTTAATCTATTACTTAATTCAATGGAAAGCTGAGAATGGATAAATTTTACTAGATTTTGATGTTTTTGTGTGTTTATTATTCTCAGTACCTATTAACTAATATTTTGGGGGGTTAGTAGGTACCCCCCCCCCAACATTAGTTTTTTGGAATCGATAAATTTTCTTGATATCTTTTTTTGCTACTAAGTTATAAATTGTGTAGTGTTTTTCAAAATTTTTTGACTAAATTTGAAACACGATCCGAATTCATCATCAGAGCTGTATTTTACATTTTATAATAATATGTAGAGGACTATAGAAAATATTTTGATAAAAAATATAATATGTTTTGTTGATTACATGTAATATTTGGTGATATGAGACACACAGCCTACATCCCAGTATTTCACACGTAGGATTTCTCAAACTATATCAAAGAATGGAAGATAATATACCATCAAACTTTCGTAATAAATCCAAGTAGTGATAAAATTAGTATAAAATATGTTATATTATTTTAATCTCTAATTGGAACGATGTCGGAATACATATCACATTAATAACAGATAAATGCTTGAGTAATTATGCAATATTTACGAAAGGATATTACTTGTATTTTTGATCTACTCTCATATAAATCGAAATATTAGTTTTTGTTAGTACTATGATTTTATCAATTTTATTAAACATATTTTTTTAAAACTTGATTCTATCATTAGTTGTAGACAAGGAGAATTAAGTTTCAAAATATTGGTCTACTCTATTCATAAATAAGGTGACCAAAATATTATAAGTAATTATCATCTAATATCCATATTAATATAATTATCAAAGTTTTTTGATAAATTAATGGAGCCTAAATTATCAAGTGTTAAAATAATACTTTTATGAATAACCAACATGATTTTTGAGTAAAAAAGTCAACTTCTATTAATTTGTTAACTTTATAACCATATTTACTCTATGTAATAGAAAAAAAGGGCAGGTTGACGGTTTCAAACATTGTAGTTGGAAAGCTTCTTAGATAGTCTTATATCAACTAAAAAAGGTGGAAAGTCAGTATAGATTGAGTTTACAGTGATTAAAAACACTGTCATAAAATACTTTGTATATTTGTGTGCGTTAAGATAGTTCAACTTTTCCTAGTTGAGTACTTTTTATAACTGTAAACAATTTCAGGATAAATTAAAAAAATTATGAGGAGGCTAATTTTAATTTCCCACTGCGTGAATATTTTTTTAACATAATAACGAATGTGTATCAACATTTAACTAGCAAAACACTTATAATTTCACAAACAAAGAGGCCCTTTTTTATTAATTTTTTATTTTTCTAATTTTAGCACTCGATACTTATTAATGTTTAAAGTACCATTGAAAATATTAATTGTTATATTTAATTTTAACAATTTAAGATTAATAAAAACTATTAACAAAATATTGTACACTGATCGAAAATCATAATTAAGGATAAAACATATTTTCCGTAATTTATAATTAACAAATTTATCACTTTTTGAATTTTGACTAATTACCATTTAGCTTCGATGCGAAGCTGAGAAGGTATTGGTTTTACTATGATGTGTTTATTTTTTTTTTTTTTTTTTGTCTGTTACCAGTTTTTCTCAGCTCTCACTGAACCGATTACTTTCAATGATACGTCAAAAGATCACAAATCGTGTATCTAGTCGAAGACATTACCCTCAAAAATTGAAAAAATTTCTGTCGTTCCCCGTAAATGGGGGAAACCTCTAAAAAATTACAAATTTAAAAATCGCTAATTTTCGAAATTTTTTAAATTTTTTTCCTTAAAACTGCCATAACTTTTTCAAAAATGAATAAATCAATATAATTTTTTTTTATAGATGTTTGATGTCTTTACCTATCATATGGTATATTTTTGTGAACATTTGACCTTTTAACAGCCCACGGGGGGGATTTAAAATGACAACTTTTTCAACTTTTGAAAGTGTTCCGGAAAGTCTGACACTTTTATATATACCTTAAATTAAAGCTTATGTAATATACTTTATTTTGAAAAAAAAAATGTAACGACGTACGGTTGCCGAGTTGATATAATTTGTGTTTTACGCGATTGGGGTACAAGGTTTCAATGACAAGGAAATTTTTTGCATTTTTTTCTTAATTCTTATTAAGTTAGAATAAATTTTCAACTCATTTGATTTTTATCTCATTTAGATTCAATAACTTCAATAAAGATCAAGGATCCCATCACTGTAGTCGCCACTCGCGAGAAGAAATTTCTTATTCATTGTTCAAAACAGCACATGTTATCTCCTCATCAGTCGGTATTGATAACGTGTACCGGTTGAACACGGAGGTAGTGGTGGTAATATTTGACCGTGAAGTATATACTGCGGCCTTTGACAACACCGGGCCAAACATTTTTCACGGTCAAGCAGTCTGTCGGCTGATTACCTTTGGTTGACATATGTCAATGTGTCTGTGCGCTATATGGTGTTATAATACCGTTTACGTAATCGACGTATGCGTGTTTTTCCCTTTGTTACAATATTGTTGTTATCCGGCCTATTGAATACAGCCGTGAAAGACTTAGTTAAAAGTTGTAGTCTTATTGAATTTAAAGTTATTAATGAAAACTTGAACACCGGTTTATTCCGTGATTGTTAGACCGTTATTGTCAAAGTTGAAGCTACCACAGTGAAGACATTCAAATCAGTAGATTAAACGAGTTGAATCCTGTGATATTATTGTATGTAAATTTATTTATAGTTTTATTTATTAATTGTAACTACATTTGTACTTGGGGACGCCCATTATATTTATTAATACTTATTTATTATAAACAGAACAAGATACCATATTTTTCTATAATATATACAAATAAAAATTGTACGAATATCAATCTCTTTTATTTTATATTTGGGTATACATTTTTTAAATTCATTTGTTTCTTCTGTGTTGATTATTACCAGTCATACCGTTATCGTAGGAGCCCGTTGGCTAACATTAATATTTTAAATTATAATTAATTATACAAAATTATTTTACTATATTTTAAGTTTTAGCTTCGATGCAAAGTTGAGAAGATATTTTTTTGTGTCTATCATTTATTTTCTCTGCTCTCACTTGACCTACTTTTTTCAACGATACGTCAAATGACTACAAATCGTATCTAGTTGAAGATATTACCTTCAAATATTGAAAAAAAATTCTAATTTATCAATGAAACAGTTACTTATCCCATGTTCTCCATACAGACAATTAAAATCATTCATTTCTAATGTTTTCAAAATATTTATTGACGAATCAAGTTTGTTACGATAATTTGATATGATAGGTTTCAAATACAAAATTAAATCATATTACTTTATAATTTAATAATTTTTTACTCTATTTGTGTGTGCTACTACTAGACTATAATATTCCAAATTTGTTGGTAACAAGTTGCTATATAAATCATTTCTAAAAAAAAATGATTGTTAGTTTTTCCAGAATTAACAATGGATTTTTACAATTATAATCAAACTTTATAATACGCTCAATTAAGTTAATCTTTTTAATAACTTTGTTTTGATTGGTTCATTTAGTTAAAGTAAATCATTAAAATTAATTAAGTTCTGAATATTTCAATTGCAGAATCTTTTTAAACATCAACAGTTATTAGGAAATGATTACTATTACTTCTATTTAAGTTATCTATTACGATAAAAATGCAAAAAAATATTGAGCTATTCTGATAAATTTACTATAAATAGTCTTTATAAAACTTCCTAACTGCATATTAATCTTAACGATACAATTTTTTTAATTCTCATCACATTTTCTATTTAATGATGTCAATTTCAAACTTACCAATTGAGCTAAAAGTTATGATAAAATTAATTTATTTTTTTTTATTATAAACATTCACAAAAATCAACTTAAGGCGATTAAAAAAATAGGTTAAATATGTCATTTTCCTTATTTTTAACATATTAATAATCATAATCAGTATTAATTTAAAACAATTTTTTTTTGTTCTTAATTATTTTTTTTTTAAATGTAAATACTTATTTTTTAATAATAAGTAATAATATTAAAACTTAGAAGTAATAGAAAAAGTGTAATTGCCCATTTGAAAACATCGCGAAAAGTTGATTTAGAAATGTTTATTTTTGTTTCTGATGAAAATTCTTTGTAGTCTAGTGTATTTATTCATAAGTAACAAAAATTTTTTATTAAAAAATATTGCATCAATCCCTTTAAATTTTTGTACGTGTTAAAAGTATATGAATATACAACTACTTTTTATTTTTATAATATCTCCGTAAAAATTACAATATATTATTGAATATCAATTTCATACCACTGTGCCGCGAATCACCTGTGCTGGGATTTTTTAATATGTTTTGGGGGTATTTAACACAATACTGACTGTACATAGTCATTTAAAATTAATTTATTAAAAATTAATTATTATAAATTCTGAAATATTAACACATTGATGGACAAAATCATGTATTACTGTTATAGCAGTAATATTAAAATTTGACTATTCTAAAAGTGTTATTACTGATATAGCAGTAATATATTCAATGATTTCTTATGAAGGAGGAAGTTGTTCTGATCCCATGCATCTCATAAAACCAGTGTTTGTAAAATTACATGTCATTAACTGTCCATCAACGTGTTAAAGAGAAAATTGAGAAGGACACATGTTTTTGTGACCAAATCTAAATCTACTATTCCCTAGATATTTTCATTCATTGATGGTTGTAAATAAAATATCTCAATTTAACAGATTTGTATTATTATTAAAAAAATTTAATCATTTTATTGTTGTAAATATAAATTATTAATTGATTTTAGGTGTACTATCACGTGATAAATGGTAAGGCATTCTTTTAAGATTAAAAGACATATTTTTGTAGTTATTTTGAGTTATATTTAAAGATATGTGATTTTATTGAAAAAATATCATAAAAAATTAATAAAGGATTTAAACAAGTGTTCTTTATGCTATTTTTATAATTAAATATTCTATGAAAATTAATATATAAAGTAGAATATATTTTATAACTTATGATTAAGTAAAGCTCTTTACATTATTTAAAATATTTCAATCGTTTTCAACGAGTAAGTAATATATATTCGAATATATATTTTAGTAGGTAAATTAAGTATTTAAGTACTATCTTTTATCTATTAGATTATTTGTGAGATTATGTTACATTAATAGATCAATTCAATAAACTCCTTTAATTAAATTTTTTATACAAATGCTAAATCTTTTAAAATACAAGTCTAAAAGTATAAATAATAATTTTTAATTTCTTTTAGTTACATACAATTCTTGATTTATCAGCAAATAATTATCTTTTAGAATTATCATTTATAATATTTATTTTTTTTATCTACAACATACATATTATACTAGCTTATAAAATAGGAAATAATCTAATTAAGAAATTGACCACTCAATAAAAAGTAATTTTTAGGTGATATATATATAAAATATATTTAGCTAAAAGAAATTCAATTTTTTTTTAAATATTGTATTTATTTTGACAGAAATAAAATATGATTTATGATAAACTGATTAATTTGTATTTATAATTTAATTTATTATTTGTGTATAATTTTGCAGAAAATTCAAAATGAAATACTTCAACATCATTTTTGTTTTGTGTTTTGTTATGTGCATCGTTTCCTTGTCGGTTGCCTCAGATTCCACTCTGCGTAAGATTAAAATAATTAAAATAAATTATTAATTAAATGTAGTTAGTAATTAACTTTATTCGTGCATATGAGTAATAATATATTTTAAGATTTTTTTCCTAATATTGTACAAATATATTATAAGCATTTATATACTATTTTTTTTATAAAATTCTCACAATACAAGAATTTTATAAATTTTTTTATTCTTTAAAAGTTTTCCTCCAAATCTAAGATAAGATGAAAAAGCTAATAATTATATAAATTATATTTTAACAGATGACGACGGTACTAATGGTAACTATTTATTTTAATTCAATCAATTTCAAAAATAGCGTGATTATTATTTTAGCTAAATCTATGAATTCTTTTTCGTTTTTTAAATAAAAAAATGTATTTTTCAAACAAATTTAAACATTATTTTGAAACAATTTTTTGGTCTTATATTTTGCTTCAGAAATAAAAAATTAATTTGTTAAAAAGAAAGAATTGAATTTAAAATATGAAATTAATTTTATTAAAAATTTGTCATATATTTAAACTTTATTTTTTTTAGATGATAAAACTCAACAAGGTTCAGTACCATTGAATTCCGTCAACCTTGATTCAGTTCCTCTTTAAAAATTTTCAAAATATATGATAAAACATTAATTCAACAATATTATAATATTTTCAGTTAAAAAATCAATTTATATAAATTTCATAATAAAAATTGTTATACATTTTATAATGATTTTGTTTCCAAAATAAAATTTCTCATAACAGTTTATCGCATTGGTTTTATTTCAATTATCTGTAAAGTCATGAATAGATAATCCTTACTTGTACTTAGTTAAATAAATTATGTAAAGTTGTTCCTATTAATATGAAGCATAAGAGAGCTTTGAAAAACTCAGTGTGGAAACAATTGAATTGTTTTA